TATGTGCCTACTACAATAAATTCATAATAATGCTAATAAAATGGAAATAAATTCTTTTAATAATTTAAGAAAATTAGTGGGATCAGTGGAATCACTGCAATGAATATGCCTGAGTTCATATATTTGTTCTTAGGAACAGAATAGCTTCAGTCGGAGTCGGAGTCTGGACAATTTTACCGACTCCGACTCCACAAGCCGAAATTTCCTCGACTCCGACTCCACAGCCCTGGCTTAGTGGTCATGCCCACATACAAATTGCTGGTGCTGTGCCCACCAGGGGACGTTGCCAAAGTTAATCCACCTGAAAATGTAAACCATGTATTATATAGGCCTGTACTCACACAAAGTTTCAAGTTTCTAAAGAAAAGTGCACAATACTTCCTCATAGGTCTCTCACTTATCACCACTAGAGTTTTCAGTTTACATTACAAATGAAAATTGGAGAGGGAATTACACAATTTCATTGTAATCTACACATGCATTTTAATTTCAGACATATGTCACCAAGTTCTTGATCTGTACTCACCAAACCGGTCTGAATCAGGATCAAGTTCTGGAGACACATCTCTTGTGATGCCAGGATCAACCCCACGACGGCCTACAACTCCAACACAGACAAGCAGCACAGCACCGCCTCCTGCCAAGAAAGCTAAGAAAGAGGAAGTGAAATCTTCTCCAGTCAAGACTGAGAGCACCACAACACCATCACAGCCTTATCAATACCCATATCAGTATACCAATTATCCTCCATCTTATCCTTCCCAGAGCTCATCCCAAGGGACGTCTACTGCAACTACCCAACGCTACCCTTATACATACCCTCCATCTACTACTCAGGGACCACCGCCACAGGCTCCTCCTCCCCAAGCTCCCCCTCCAACATACCAACCACCTCAGAGACACTACCCACCTCCTGCTGCAGCCACATCTCAGGCTCCTCCTCCACACTATGCCTCGCAGCCTCCACCATCTCACTACTCCACAACAACTCATCCTGCCAGTACATATCATCCTCCACCCACCACACCACACTACCCAACACCCCCAACTAACCAGCCTCCTCCACAAAGCCACTATCCTCCTCCTCCCCACAGCTCTACCTCTTCTTCATATTATGCACCACCACCAGCCTCTGCAAACCCACCCAGCTACCCAGGAGCAGGACCATCCTCAACATATCCACCTCCAAGTTCCTATTCTCACTCCAGTTCTAGACCTTACTGAGCATATTTCCTCATAATCCATTGCTTTTTGTCTTACTTCAGTGTACTTTATTCAATCAAGAAGCATCACCTTGCAGTGCATGTGATTTGTTCATTGTTTAATTGAAGATATACCATGCACTCATTTTAAACTGCTTTACTCCTTGATGTTATATATACACTGTGTTTATATATATATATATATATATATATATATATATATATATATATATATATATATATATATATATATATATATATATATATATATATATATATATATATATATACATACATACATACATACATACATTAAAAGTCCAAAAATCCGGATGCCAGGAGACCACCCGAGAATCCGGACTTTTCGAAAACTCAAACTTTTTAAATTTAGCGGGGGCTTTTGTGGGTTATGTGAATGAATGGAGTTGCTTTAAAAAATTAATTTACATAATTCTAATAATAAAAGTAATTGTAAATTATAGGTAGCTAATTTTGTTAGTTTTGTAATTAGCTTGAACTGAAATGTAAAATTTGAGGCACTATAAATCTTTTGTGTGTATGTGTGCATGAGTGAATGCCACAGCTGCACAGCGACAACAAACGACCACACGATCGCCACTTTAAAACAAGCAATCAAACTGTGACAACGTATGTAATTTTGAGTCCTACTCTTTCCATGTACAGAGTACAGGCCCATAATAATGGCCCCTAAAGTAGATAAACTTCGTTGTGTGAAGAGAAAGAAGAACACATTGAAATTGAGTGACAAACTTGAAATAATTAAGAAACTAGAACGTGGTGTGAGCAATGCTGTTCTAATGGAAATATATGACATTGGAAAGTCTACAATTTATGATATAAAAAAGGCAAAGAATAAAATTCTAGAATTCACAGCTTCTTCTGAGCCTTACATTAAAATTGCTGAAAGAAAAAGTTTACATTGGCCCAAATTAGAAAATCTTGATAAAGTGTTGCACGAATGGTTTTTGTTAAAACGATCAAAAGGTATGGCAATTTCTGGGCCGATACTTATTGCCAAAGCAAAGTCTTTTAAGGAGCAAATGAACATCGAATCAGAGTGCGCATTTAGTGATGGATGGCTTAGGAATTTCAAGACTCGTCAAGGTATTAGACAGTTTGTTTACATTTTTGTCTAGTGTTGACTTTGTTTCTTTAAAACTGCTCGTTTTGATAAATGAAGCATGCTTTATTTGCTAATGAATAAACTATCAAAATGTACCTGTTCATCTCATCTTTATTCCTCCTTAAATTTTAGTTTTAAAAGTACTGCCTGAGAATCCGGAAAATCCGAAAATCCGGACCTACCCAATATATATATATATATATATATATATATATATATATATATATATATATATATATATATATATATATAGTGGGGTATGCTATAACGAATCTAATTGGTTCTAGAACCTTGTTCGTTATAGCATTCGTTTGTTATAGGATTAATCCGTTCCAGGCCCCCAAATACAACCACTTAACACTGAAAAATATAATATAAAATTGTAAAAATTGTAAAAAGTGCATAAATATGCATCTAAACCCCTGAAATAAAGAATATCATTAATATTTGTAATAATAAAACAATAAATTAGAAAAAAAAAAATTAAATTATGTTCGTTGTAGGAGTTTCGTTCGTTATAGCATTCTCAATTTTATAGGTAAAACCGTTCGTTATAGGAATATTCGTAGTAGGATCCGTTCGTTATAGCATACCCCACATATATATATATATATATATATATATATATATATATATATATATATATATATATATATATATATATATATATATATATATATATATATATATATATATATATATATATATACAGTATATGTATATATACAGTATATGTATATACAGTTGGTCCTTATATTACGCGGTCCCGCATTCCGCGTTTCACCGTTAACGCGGTGCCTTGCCAGAACCTAACATTCTTACATTCCGCGGTCGCGAACGCCATTACGCGGAGTGTGTCCGGCGCGACGCTATTTTTAGATTTTCCCCACGCGCCACCCGCCCGCCCGCCTGCCTGCCTGCCTCCTCCCTCCGCTTGGGCAAGCGGCGCGGTAAGGTTGCGCAGTGTGTGTCTTTGTTGCGTTATCACTGACGTCATATGACGTATCAGACCTGTGATTGGCCATGCATCCCTACCCTCCTCTGCTGCTAGCTGTAATTGGCTTAAAGTATTATGACGTGTCCACCCGGGGGAGGAAAGACGACGCTTGACCTAGCTGCGGCAGTTTCATCCCTCAAGGCCACTCCGTGTAAACGCGCATCCATTGTTCCGTAAAATTGACTTTGAGGGATTTGTCAGGGAAGCCCTGACAACTGTAAGTGACAGTGATGATGATTCACCTAGTAATGGTGATTCACCTGAGGGCCAGTAATCTGCCCTCTGCCTCGGAACCAGCCTCCATCCCCGTATGCCGACCCATCTCTTCTACTACCGTAAGTGTTACACAAAATTTTTAGTTTTCTAACCTAACCTTTATTTTTCCTATGTTAACCTTTATCTTTCCTAACCTAACCTCTTCTATATTACTTGTTTTTTCATACCATCATAAAGTTAAGATAAAATTTTTACTACAACATAGTTGTGTGTCGTCAAAAAGTGGAGTTTGGGGATCGGCCTGGACTCCATTTCAATTAATCCCATATGTTATGTTGTTCACTTTACGCGTTCCTCACTTTCCGCGGGACCCTCCGGGTTACATTAACCGCGTAATATGAGGACCAACTGTATATATGTGTATATATATATATATATATATATATATATATATATATATATATATATATATATATATATATATATATATATATATATATATATATATATATATATATATATATATATATATATATATATTGACTTCCATTGACTTCCATTATAAAACTGGAGATGCGTTCCTACGGAATTTTTTTAGGCCCCAAAAACGTATTTCAAGCACTTTTATGAATGAAAATAAACATTTATAAACACATACAATACAGTATGTTAAATAATTCATGATATACATGTAATATGAAGAGAAATACAGTTGGAATAAATAAAAATATTGTACTGTACTTACCACAAAAGATTTGACTGCTGCATGAGGATTGGTGGTGCGAAGGAAGTTATTGGGAGGGAGAAGAAGGGGCACTACTCTCTTCTGCCCTGCCCTGTAAATCATCATCTGCTTCTTCATCTGCTTTCACCTTTTTTCTGAATAACTCATCCAAAGTTGTTTGACGTTTACGGCGCACCTTCTCCTTGTACAGCTCAGTGTAGGAACTGAGAGCATTGTTAACTGCTCTTGCAATCTTGATGTTCCTTTCACGGTTGGGGTCGTTATCAGCAAAGATTTGCAGACCTTCCTCTATTAGTGCAAATGCTGTAGACATATCCTTTGTTGTCAACTGAAGTGTGGTGGGTGGAGATTCTATATCCTCTTCTTGTCCTGCAGCTCGCTCTTGTTCCAGCATCATCAGATCTTCATTAGTCAAATCTTCTCTATGGGACTAGCAACTCAACCACATCATTTTTCACGACTTCTTCAAAGCCTACATTATTTGCAAGTGTCACAATGTCTTGTTGAACTTTCTGTAGACTTTCAGCTTGTGAAAAACCTTGAAATTCATGGACACACTCTGGCCATATGTTTTTCCATGAACCATTCATAGCTGAGGTTTTTACTTCATCCCATGACTCGGCTATATTATCCACAGCATCCAAGATGTTGAACTTTTTCCAGAAGTCCCTAATTGTAGGTTTATCCTCCCCATCAATTGCTTTTATGAGCTGCAAAAAAGTTTTCCTAAGATAATATGCCTTAAAGTTAGCTATCACACCTTGATCCATTGTCTAGAGCAAGGAAGTTGTGTTCTTGGGGATGTACTCCACTCTCACATTATCAGAAAGATCATTTAAATTTACTGGGTGGATTGGTGCATTGTCTAAGAGGAACAATGCTTTATTAGATATGTTACGCCTGGCATTATATCTTTCTACAGCAGGGCAAAAATAGTTAGTGAACCAGTCTTGGAAAAGGGTCATAGTCTTCCAAGCCTTCTTATTGGAACGCCAAATCACAGGTAGATTAGACTTGGCATAGCCCTTGAGAGCCCTTTGATTTTCTGAGTGATACACAAGTAGGGGCTTTAATTTCATATCACCTGAAGCATTTCCTCCCAGAAGAAGTGTTAAACGATCTTTGGATGCTTTAAAGCCTGGTGCTGATTTTTCTTCAGTGGAAATAAAAGTTCTAGCAGGCATGCGCTTCCAGAAAAGCCCAGTTTCATCTACAGTGTACACTTGTTCTGGTGTGTAACCTCCTTCATCAATAATTTTCTTCAGCTCAGCAGGATATTTATTAGCTGAATCTGTATCAGCACTGGCAGCTTCACCTCTCATTTTTATGTTGTGTAAATTAAGGCACTTCTTAAACCTTTCAAACCAGCCTTTACTAGCCAGAAAAGGTTTAACCTCAGAAGATGCACCTTCCTCTTCCTGCAAATCATTATATAAACTTATGGCTTGCTGTTGAATAACCATAGTGTTTAGTGGCACATTGCGTTTAGTCTGATCTTCAATCCAGACACTCAGGAGTCGTTCCATATTCAGCATCACATCACTTCGATGAAAATACAAGGTTCGAGCAGTTAATGGAGTAGCAGCTTGAGCACTTGACCTAATTTTGTCCTTATTATCACGGATTGTTCCCACTGTTGAAGTAGCAAGACCTTATGTTTTTGCAATCTGGCTAAGTTTTTCTCCATCATCAAACCTTCTTAAAACGTCAAGTTTAATATCCAATGTAATGCCTTTGCGGCTTCTTTTTGCACTACTGCGGTCACTTCCACTTGATGGCCTCTTTCCAGTCATCTTGAATAATGGTAATGCACTGTACTGTACTTACTGTATGTTTGTAAAAGTTAAATCAAACTGCTGGGGCTTGAAGAATGCACCCACAATGGATGTAAACAATGGACTGACTCCTCGTGGCGACGCTACGCTTGGCAGTAGCAAACACCAAGAAATCCACACCAAACAAATTATCATTTTTAACAAAAAAATTAAATTTTATATAGTAATTTTTTTTTTAATTGTTAAAATTTACCCCAATTTCCGTAAGGGCGGATTTACGGGCCGTAACGCGAAATTAATGGTCGCAATTTACAAATTCCGTAAGAGCGAAATTCCGCAACCCGAGCTTCCGTAATGCGGGGGATGCCTGTATATATATACAGTATAAAGAAAAAACAAATGAATATAAGACCATTACAAATATCTCTATAGATAACATAAGATTATTCATAAAAAATATTACCAGTGTATATATTCTAAGAGGGTACAGGATATTGCAGAACTTGGTGAGAGAAAAACACATAATATCAAATATTCCATCGTTGTGATGTTTGATAATACTGTACTGAAATACGTCTTGCAGCATCTCGGAGTCTTTTTAGTGAATAGTAGTGAATCAGACATTTCGGTTAATTTTTTAATTTTACAAACTTGCCTTTGACTATTATGGTGCAAGTCCTTACCCTTTATTAGTTAGTAAGTTACCCTATCTCTATATTTTTGTTACATTTGTATGAATAAACCTGTATTTACTTTTAGTTCCTCAGAGAGTATCTTGTAACCAGTGAGTTAATCATGTGGCACAGTTGCTCCAGGTCACCAAATTTTCTCAAACGTATTTACCCTCTTTGCCCCCCAATCAGTTAACTAGATCGTCAGTCTGTTCTCTGTTACGTGTTGCTGGCATGTACAGGCTCTTGACTTTACCTGAACATGTGCTAGTGTTGGTCAAGGCTGGTATGTTAGGAGAGAAATGATTCTTTTGCTAATTTTTAACAGCTGTGTACTGCTTCTTCAGGGACACTGATTTCCCTTAATATTATATAGTGATAAGAATGATTACACCATAGGATATGAGGTGATGAGACCAGGTACACCATAAGATATGAAGTGATGAGACCAGGAACACCATAAGATATGAAGTGATGAGACCAGGTACACCATAGGATATGAAGTGATGAGACCAGATACACCATAGGATATGAAGTGATGAGACCAGGAACACCATAGGATATGAAGTGATGAGACCAGGTACACCATAGGATATGAAGTGATGAGACCAGGTACACCATTGGATATGAGGTGATGAGACCAGATTCACCATAGGATATGAAGTGATGAGACCAGATACACCATAGGATATGAAGTGATGAGACCAGATACACCATAGGATATGAAGTGATGAGACCAGATACACCATAGGATATGAAGTGATGAGACCAGATACACCATAGGATATGAAGTGATGAGACCAGATACACCATAGGATATGAAGTGATGAGACCAGATACACCATAGGATATGAAGTGATGAGACCAGGTACACCATAGGATATGAAGTGATGAGACCAGATACACCATAGGATATGAAGTGATGAGACCAGATACACCATAGGATATGAAGTGATGAGACCAGGTACACCATAGGATATGAAGTGATGAGACCAGATACACCATAGGATATGAAGTGATGAGACCAGATACACCATAGGATATGAAGTGATGAGACCAGATACACTCCCAAAAAAGTATCAGCCCCTTTCCTCATCAACACAATCTGCCACTGTGGACGAATATTTCCAATCACTAATTGTGATTCCTGCATTATATTGGTAGGCTTGCCTTCCTAGTATCTGTGAGATTGCTAGTTATTATTTCTGGCATTTATTGTAATTATGGTGAATCACCGTGCTCCATCTTTAATAAAATACCAGTAATATAGTGATATTAAGGAAGCATAAATATATCAGCGGCAGTCAAATGGTGGGTGTTTTCTACTAGGAATCCATGACCAACACTAGTACCCAAGACTTAATGGAAAACACAGCTTGCACCGACAGACATTGTCTCATAGTGTGTATCAGATAATTTTCCGTTGCCAGCGCGAATCATGAGGTGATACGTTATATTCATAATTGTTACCTCATCAATTGAGGTAGAAATAATATCAAAATGCAGTAAAGCATAATGTCATTGTAATTGGATATGGCATCATAATACACCTGTAATTACTCTATTTGCAAATGAATGTAATATCAGATCATAGTGCTTCATATTTCGTTCGAAGTGATTCCATTGTAACCTCGGTTCATGAAAACGTTATATTCATATATGGCAACCCATCCCATGGGGCTGAAATAGTACAATATCTAAGGTACATAAATCAGTGAGGTTACTCATGACATTGTTGGTTTTGTATATGGTATCACAATTCATCGTACAGTGAACCCTTGAATATCCGGACTAAAAGGGGACCACCTGTCCGGAAAAGCCGATTGTCTGAATCTTCCGGCGAATGTACACAATGTATAAAAGCGATAAATAATTATATAAAAACACCAAAAATACAGTACATATTATCCTGACTACTGAGGTTAGAAATACAGACTTTTTCCTGTGAAAAAGCCATAATTTTGAGCAACATATTACTGTACTCATTTGTACTCCATGTACTACATTAAAGGACTAAAATTCTTATCTTGCAAGGATTCCAGTAATGCAAGTTATATTCTGCTAAATTTAGTCTGTGAAACTTTATAAGATAGAAACTTTAAACCTAAAACTACCTTCACCCCTGGAAATGGGAAGGTGAGGTTGGCAGCCAGGCAGGGAGAGTAAGTTGAGGTGAAGTATTGACCAGCCGGGGACGAAGGTTACCCATTGCGTATTTATAAAATGTCAATTAATTGACTTGAAAGAATTTTTCATATTTTACCCACATATAACCTATATTTGATTGTTGAAAGAGAATGAATAATTAGGTGATCAACATAAACATAGAAAACCAACCTTAAAATTAAAGTTGAGGTGCTTATTGTACACTATGCTAGTATCCGAGGCTGGGGAGGAAGGCTAACGTCCGTCTCCCCCCTCTTCCACCACTCGATGAAAGCGTTCAAGATACAAGTTCTCTGGCAGGCTAGCTAGGCCGTGACGATCTTCCCCTTCATCTTCCACCTCTAGATGTTCAATTGCTTCAATCACTTGCTTATTTTCTTCTTGTTTGTGGCTCAAGTAACGAGTGATCAGATCTTGTTTGCTGTCATTTACTTTCTTGTTATACTTTTCTTGGTAGTGACCTCGTATTTTATTAAGCAAACCCATCATCATCTCACGGGCATCATAGTTTGGCTCAACCAACGACATCTGATCTTCGACATTGTCACACATGCCTAGGAACATGGACAGATCATGAGTTGTTGGCTCTGTAGGTTGTTGCACAATTTGTGGGGGTGTTTCTAGCTGAACTTGGTTTTCTTCTCCCAGCATCTCCTCATCAAAACCTTAAGGACAGTACACAAGAACTGAATGGTGCTATATTGGAGGCTTTAAAGGCCTTCACTAGTATGTACAATACATAATCAGTCCAATCTGTGCACAGTGTACTTAGAGCAAGCATTAAAGTTGTTGACCAGTGGCATATGTCAAGTGTGCAGCCATAATTCCACTTCTGGCTGTGGGCAATCTAGTTAAATTATGGAGACATTGACATGAGTGTCATAATTGATAATGTATAAACTGTGATTTTTTTCTATCTCTCTCTGTTTGCTATTTTATCTTTGCACTTAATGGAGAATATGAAAAAAAAATTTATGTTCCAACATTTATGATTTTTTTTTGTTCTTTTGTGAAAACAAATAGATTTCTTTCAACTTAATTTGTGATATAATTTCAGATACAATAAACAGTACACCCTGTACTGTGATACTGTGTATTGTACAATCATACTTATTGGAGAAATTTAATTGTTTTTTTATGTTTACTGGGTTTTTTTCACTTAATGGAGAAGTGAAATCATATTTTTTTTTTGTTCAAACATTTATTATTTTATTTTTTCGTTTGCTTCCTGTGAATGCAAATAAATTGAAAATTTTTTGCGAGAATTTTATACAATGTACAGTGGTCCCTCGGTTAACGAGCACAATCAGTTCCAGCAGGTTGCTCGTTAACCGAAACACTCATTAACCAAAACCATTGTTTCAATGGGTTTTTGGGTAATTGGTTCCAGCTCACCGAAAATTGCCTAAATTCAACAAAAAAGGTAGAAAAGTACTCTTACTTTGAGGAGTGTATGTAGAAGGCTCCTGGATGATGATGATGGGAATTAGAATGGGTGTGGGGGAGAAGAGAAGGCATTGGGGTGGAAGAGAAGTCACCCCATGGCACCATTTCACCCATAAAATTTTAGTTCTCTTGGTGTAATTCAAGATTATTTTCTTTAAATCAACACTGCACTGCATTATATATTGTCAATATGTAAAATAAATTTCAAAATGACCAATAATTTGCTTGGAAACACAGAAAAAAAGCGTTTAGTTGAAGAGAGTCTCAAGCAAGATGTTACCTCCACTGAAAACAGAGAGAGACTAATGCCTGTGTGGTGTGTTAACAGGTTGGATGGCACGCCAGAAACTAGTTTCTTTACCTTCAATTATGTTCAATAATTGTTAAAATGACTAAAAAAGTTAATATTAAACTTTTAAAATTATTGAATAGTATAAACTTCTTGATATTTACTAAAATAGTAAGGAATTTAAGCCCTAAAACCGATTACTGTATTGGCGGACTAATACTACAGCTGGTGGACCGCCAAATGCAAGCGAAAACATGTTGAAGTCGGCTCGTAAAAAACTCGTTAATCGAGGGATTGCTCGTTAACCGAAGTTAAGAATCTTATGGAAGGTAAATCGTTAACCGAAATCTCGTTAACCGAGGCGCTCGTTAACCGAGGGATCACTGTACTATGATACTGTGTATTACATTACTCATACTTAGTATTTGGGAATTTTAATCATTCTTTTATTTCACTTTTCTTTTGTAATTTAATTACAATTTCAATACTGTATAGGTACAGTGCAGTACTTCTAAAATCTTTCAAAAATGATAATTGCCATTACTGTATTTGCAATTTCAAACTAAGTCTGATTATTATTAATTTATATACAGCAATGTATAGGTACAGGTTGACAACCCTTTATCCGAAAACCGAAAAGCTCTAAAAACCGAAAGTTTTTTGTGGGGCTTTTTTTTTTTTTTTTTTTTTTTTTTTTTTTTTTTTTTTTAACAGGGTTTATTAGCCCACCCAGGCACAGATCACTGACCCACATCAGGGCCTGGGGGGCAAAAATGTAATCGTAATAATAATTATAATAATAATTATTCATAGTAAATAAAATTTTTAATAATTATACACCAAAATAAAATAATAATGATTACAATAATAATAATAATAATAAAATATAATAATAAAATAATAATACAGTAAAGAAATACAAGAATGAAAAAAAAGATCAAAAGTGAGAAACACGACCTAGACCTATGAATTATTATTATTATTATTATAATTTTTATTATATTTTAGACCCCCAGGCCCCAATGTGGGTCGGTGATCTATGCCCGGGTGGGCTAATACACATTTAAAAAAAAAAAAAAAAAAAACCTAACCATTCTGAAAACCGAAATGCCTCTGGCCTCAAGGATTTCGGATAAAGGATTGTCAACCTGTACTGTGATAAATTTGGTTTTACTGCTTGTTCTTATTTAGAGGAACTAAAATTTTTTATGGATTTCTCTGACGCTTGCAAACTATTTCAGTACAGTATAGTACTTTGAAGCCTTTAAAAATGTGTACATTTATTATTTCAAGCAAATACTAAACTGTTTGAATGATATAATTTTACATATACTGTACTGTACTGTGATATATTTTTCTTTAGTCATGCCAGTGTAATCCCTTTTTAATTATGAGGCTGGTGTGAGGTCAGTGTAAAGGCATGAGGCTGGTATGAGGTGTGCATCAATTATTCTGGCTAGCAGGGATATCACTACACTATGTGGGTTTATTTGCAATATATCAATATGAATAAAATATTATATAATGAGTCAATGAACTGCAAGGAGGTGGGGGCTTCTTAGGCTAGTACCATCAGATAAAACAAAATGACAATAATTTACTAAATAAAATCCTACCTCTTGAGGACAATCCTTCCTTTAAGGGAGATACAGTACTTATGACATGGAGGGATGGCTGCTGTATAGAAGAATTAAGTTAAGGATGATGCAGAACGATGGCACGAAGTTATTTCAAAAAGGGAAACAAACTACAAAAAAGTATTCACAATCATTATTTCATTATCATACTAGTACAGTATAATATCCACATCAGTACAAAAATAGATGGTTACCTAAAATTTGTCTGAGACTTGCACACAATATAAAACGCAAACATTCAACAAAGCCTCCAAATCAGGAAGTTCTTATAAAGACATTGCACTGTAACAATAACATCATAGTTAAAATATTTACAAATAATTCACCAGGAGACTAGGGGGGATTACTATATGGTGTTTCTGATGACTGACTTTGTGATGACAATTGTAAGCGCTAAATTTTATACCCTATTTTGTTATCTAGAGAAAACTGTAAACGATGGCAAATTACATACTGTATGTAATTAAAGCTTAAACATTCTTCTACATTTATACAGTACCGAGTATCTTGTTTTTACAAAGTTGTTGAATGAAAATACATATGGCTTGTTTGCTACAAAAATTTTAAAATCCTGTGTAATCTGGTACTGCACTTACAACAGTCTTGTGGAAGGAAATTAGTCTAAAACTTTTTAAAGCTAGTGTTGGACAGAACAGAGAATTATATCTCCAGTAAATTATGACAGACAATAAGGCACATTAACACAGTTTTAAAGAGTATACCAATACAGTACACATGAGAATTATTTCAAGCATGAGATTTTCTAACAAGAATTTAATAATGAATATATATATTATTAATTTCCATTTCTTTTAGTAATATCATTTTGAACTTTCACTTTCACCTTGACCTTCTGGGACAGTACTGGTATCTTGTTCCTAGTTAAGTTGAAACCAAAACATTAACACTGTCACAGACAGTTACTACTACAGACTATACTGTACTGATATTTAGAAAAAAATTATGCAAAACTATTTAAATACTGTACATGTCCTCCTTGTGTTGTACAAATACACTTCTGAGACCATAACTTTCCCTACAACTGTATAAGACAATGATCGTAAAGTTGAAAGTCAAAGCCCGGATTCACTAACATAGTCAGTTATGGTGTCCATAATGGTCATCGCACAGGGATCCAGTGGTAGCAAGATTGTTGTAAATCGCAATTTGCACTAAAAATTATTACGGTCACCACAAGTTGGCTATGATGTCATACAGCTGTTTCCCACCACAGGCTACAGATAGTGCAAGTGAGCTCGTTCAGCCAATCGTTTTCATCAAGTGTTCAACACATAAAATTCTCACGACTGTATCGTCTTCATTAAAATCATGGTTTACATCTTTATGCAGTATTAGGTCAGTTACCCAGCTTCACCCAGATGGAGGGACAGGAGATAGTGTTTAACCATCCCCAGATCTAGGGCATCTGCACTTCCCTACCAAATTTCAGCTCTATCTTCAAAACTGTGGAAATGGATCTGATCAGTGTGTGGGGAGGAGTAGATTGGACCCTGCGGGGTCGACCTGTCCCTCGTGGAGGAACAAGAGATATGCAAGACCATCCTTAAGGAGAGTCTCTAGGCCACCTGCATCTCCCTACCAAATTCAAACTCTCTATCTTCAAAACTGTCAATCCACGGGTGAGGGGGCCTTGGTCGGCCCCTGTGGAGCCAACCCACCCTTCCTGGAGCGACAGGAGTGTGTAAAAACAGTCCCAAGGCCACCTGCACCTCATTACCAAATTTCAGCTCTATCTTCAAAACTGTGGATATGCACAAGGAACAAACGCATGAATGCACACACAGACACACAATACATTTTATATATACCTTGTACTGTACTGTAAAACCAATACAGTATTTTTTTTCAACATTTCATAAAATATTGTCCATTTGCAATATGCAAGGTTAGGGTGGAAGAACCAACTTAACAAGTATGTGACTATAGTAGTTTCATGATAAAACAAAAGTACAGTAGCAGATTTTTTTTTATTATTGTTTTTAAATGAATAAATCGTGTAATTTTTAGACGGATTTAACTTAGCACCTGCGCCCAGGGCGCGACTGGCCATACCACCCCCCCCTCCCCCGGGTATATCGAGAAAAATCAACTTTAACAAAAATCATTTTTAACCTTTTTAAATGATAAAAAAAATAAGTGAGAAAAACTATATATTAACCCTCGAGAAACTTTCCTGGGGCCACAGTGGTGAGGGAGATAGGGGACAGCTTATAGCAAGCGCTCATGGTCACTACACACTTAGCGATCATTTTCTGCTTGCCTTTGTGTCTGGGATGGCCAGTAATGCATATATTTACTGATCATAATACTTATATCCTATAAATAATTTATTTAGAATTTATTTTATTTGCATTATTTTTCATAAAAAGTGCTCTGCGACACGCAGTCTCGCCTGGTTGTCTTTGTGTTTGGAATAATAATTCCACAAATAAATACATTTATAACAATCACAGCATTATTTTCCAGTAATACTACACTACTTTTAGAGTGAGAGGTTGAGAGACGACTCAACATGGCGGCAGGCTAATGCGTAACTAACCGCGCTGAGCCCACCCACGCTACACTGTGTGTGGCGTGACCACCAAATAGTCATGCTGGAACCTTATAACCCGCGCAGGGCATTCAAACAATGGAGCGAAAAGACTCGCATTCCGGAACGTCAACCGGGGCGCCCTAGATGGAAGTTCCGTAGCCTAAAGTAAGAGCGGGTCAAGTTATTGGAACCCCTTATATAATTTTGCATTTTGGTTAGCTTCAATTTTTCAGGTTTGAATACCTTCCCTACCATTATTTACTGAACACTTAAACATGAAACTGTTACTGTGTTGTCATGTTAATATAACACTTACATGTACTGTTTGTTGGTTGAGTTACTGTATTTAATTTGTATTACCAATACTGTACTGTACTGTAGTAGCATCTCATAGTTATACAAATAAATTTAAAACCATATTCTATAATTCCTAATATTTCACCATGAATA